GAACTACATGTTTAGGGCCTAAGGTTCTGGGGGGGGAAACCCAGACATCTCCTGTCAGATCTGTGTTCACTCATTGGATAATAAAATTACGAAGCCTAAAATAAGGATGGAACCAGACTCGCTTCACAGCTGTTTCCTAGTTGTCTCTGTACTCTTCAGGAAATGGAAATACACAATTAGGAAGGCTTACATTTAAGGAACAACAATCCAAGTACTCAGCCTTCTAGTGATCCATCTCTAAAAAATAGTAACTATGTAGCTGTCAGGCAGCAACATTCAGTAGAAGCTAGATCAGGTGCGTTTAAAAAGTGCTAGGGTGCAACTCCAGCAGCATAAAGAGAGGGGAATTAAGGCATACAAGCTATTTGATTTTTGAAGCCATTATGTTGTTTCTTTTTTTTTTTTAATCAACATATGGTATGTTTCATTAAAAGCTATAATGAAGATACTTTGGATCTGAAGATACTTTGGATCTATTTATTTCTGAACCATTAGCAATATATAACATGTCCATCCGTACATGAAACTTAAAATTTCTCTACACGTGGGGGCCGGTAAGAGTCAGAAACACTTTTGTCTATGTAGACATGTTCAAGCAGTTGTAATGAAGTCCTATGGAGAAAAATGGATCTGGGCTGCAATTATCCACTACATTTCTTCCTGCAGGGTATTTAAAGAGCCCAGTTAGAACTAGCTTAAAGTGATCATTCTAGGAAGATGGTAGTTGAACTCTAAAGCAATTTTGTGTTTTGTTCCATACACACTAAACATAACAAGGGAACCACAAGAGTATGTTTCTGTCCAAATAATATTCCCTAAACCTGCTCACAACATGCAATGCCTGGTTGCATATATAGACTTCAGACTGCTACTTTAGGTGAGTTTCACAAGAAATTAAATATAGTGAACACCACTAAAGAAATACAAAAATTATATAAAGGGTACTGTCTAGTTCATAGGAGAAAGGAGTTTAATAATGTGACATTATTGTGTTTTGGGTGCAGCTTCACTTTTTGCATGGAAGTATCCTTTAAGTTTACTTTTAGTAAATTACTAAACACTAAGAACAGTGTAGACTGGATTGAGCCTATTCCAGAACAGACTTTGATGAAAACAATGGCTTTGACTTCAGAAGCTATTTGTCCCAATATCTCCTTTACTTGCCATATCAATAGTAACCCCTGCTATATACTTAGTTTTGACATTTTTATCCTGACTGATTGTGAAATATTTTCTATTATAATGCCTTTGTCAAAGTTATTAATCATTTACTATTTTACAATTTATTGACAGCTTTATTCAGCTAAAAAAAAAAACGTGGTTCAAAGATTCTTTATAATACGGACATAGATCCAGCTGGTTTGGCATGGAATCTGAAACACAAGTGGCATTCTTTCATTACGCCTACCTTGGAGCCAGTAGTTGCTGTCAAACTGTCTGCAATCATTCTGGGAAGTACTGTTTCTACATCTGTGGTATCTAATAATTTATATCATACAGTAATGATGGTTGACAGCAATGCCATAAACACAGATCATCAAAGAGACACAATAGCAACTTTCATTAGTTTGAAACATGTTGGTAAGGAAGCTATCATGAAAATACATATAGACACCCAGTTAGTGTAAGTGTTCCCTATTGGTATTTTTTCTCTCTTCTCTTTGGACTTGATCCAAAAGTTGTGATAAGCCCCAGTGAATACAGTATAAGTCCTAAAATGGGAAATAAGTGACACCCATTTTCACACTATGTTTATACCTATATTACTGGTTTATATGCACATTTGTAAAACTGGATAAAGAGAATCTGCTTATCAGGCATCTCCTAACCAGGCTGTTTCTGTGAACTTAAGTGGCCAAATGTCTAGTGATAGGTGACAAGACATTACCTGCAGGAAGAAAAAAAAATGAAATTTTCCTTTAACAGTATAATTCAAATAAGGTCAGTAACAAAGCAAGTAGAAATGGTAGCAGAAAATATAAAGGAAATATATCAAGTCAGCTTTGGGGGATGTTTAAATCCTTTCATTTTTACGGTTGTCTTCAGTCTTTGGAGATGGAAGCGCTATCCCCTATGTAATCTCTCTGATTCTTGCCAAAGTTGAGTGCTCTATTAAAAAAATAAGCATTTGGAGATGGTGGACCATGGACAAAGTGATGGGGGAGATAAAGCAACTTTCTGTCCTGAACAGCCCCTGATCGACATCTGGGAATTATTTATGAGACTAACCTTTTGATAAAAGCGTGTGAAGAGGGAGTGCGTTTCCCCCAACACTTTTCAAGTCAACAGGGAAGTTTCTGTAATTGGAGGAGATTTGTTGACTGTTTTGTCACCTGCAGCGATGCCAGGCAGGGAGGCAGAGAGCTATCATGCATTCTTGATGATGACACAGGCTTATGGATTGGTATGTGGGAGTGTTGGTAACAAAGACATATATAGAGGAAGTTGCTCTTTACAGCTCACCGATTATAAGAAGACACAAAAAGGGGTGAAAAAGTACATTTAAAAATACCTCTTGCTAATCTAGTCCTGTATATATATCCTTGTACCCTGATAAGACCTCAGCATCCCATCCTCTCCTTAATTTCCTGTTCTTCAGAAACCTGACTTCCTAACCTACCAACCCGACTTAGGCAAGCCTTTCTGTATGAAATCGCTATTCTGGCTTCTGAATACGTGGTCCCAACCCAGGCAAACATTTAAATACTTGTTAAAGATTAAGCAGGTGCTTAATCTTTCCTGATGTGGCCTTAGAGCAGGGGTCAGCAAAATGGTCAATCCAGCCAGCAGCCAGACTCCCATTTCCCAGCTGCTCCTGTGCATGGCTGGGGCCAGTCACCCATGAAGACCCCAGCCACAGCTGTGCGTGGCTCTGCCCATACCCCAGACCAGGCTGTCACCGCTGCAAGGAGCATGGGCAGAGCGCAATCCCCTGCCTAGAGGGTGCAGGCTACAGATTACGGCTCTGCCCTGCCTCCAGAGCAAGCTGCCCCCATCACAGTATCCCAGCAGCTCCAAGGCAGCCCCCTGCACTGCTCTGCTATGCACCCTGCCAGCATGGCTGGGGTCTCTATAAAGACAAGCTCCAGCCATGCACAGGGATGGCTGGGAAATGGAGTCCATTGCCAACCAGGTCTGGGCTGCGGGCCAGACTTTGCCCATCCCTGCCCTAGAGAAACTTGCATGTAGGGAAGTAGGCAAAACCTGAGGGAGTTGCACTCTGTACCGTTTCTAGGATTTTCTTGCAATATCCTCCTCAAATCCCACTATGTAGTAGAGATGCAGTTTAGGGAGAACCACCCACATGACTTGAACTGCATGTTGCCAGGACTGAACATTACTGATCCAAACAGAAAAAGAATGAGAGGCCCAGTGCAGTATATGCTGCTGAACAAGAAGGGGAACACTTGCAATATCCATATTCCCTAGAAATGGAAGGTAGCAAGGGAAAGATTATTTGTCTGACTTTCCCACTAAGATGTTGCCTGGCTACTTTTTCTGCACAGAGCAGCTGTGACACTCTGACTGAAGGGAAAGTGTTTTCAGAGTAGTTTTGGAAAATGTTGTCACCTCTCGCATCCTCCATTTGATCTTGCACTAACTCCATGATTCATCTTCTTTTGAATTATCACTCACATAGCACTGCTCCCACCACTCACACTGGCATTTACTTTTTTGCTGTACCCCGCTACTTCCAGTCAGTCAGGTGTGCCCACTTCCACTTCCAGATCCATTTCTCCAATCCCACTCTACACCTTTACTGTCACAAGCAAATTCTTTTAGTGATACTTTCCTTCTTCCTGCCATTTCTTCATACCATTGCTCCTCTCAGCAGCAGTTCGTTAAACACAAAATCCTGTCTCAGATGCCCATTCCATACAGATAATTCAAGAGATCCGTTTCCCAGAACTCTTGGTGGAACACACGTCAACAGGCCAAGAGTTGTTATGGCAACTGGATATTGAGACCTAAACTCTCAAATCACTTAACAATGGATTACTCCAATACAGGAGCTACAATAAAATGCAACAAAACAAAACAAGACTTTTGCTGCTCAGAGAAAAAAACTTCACCAGGGAGCACCTTATGCAGTCTGAAGCAGACATGCTCTTGCCATGATATGCATGCATCCTGTCACTCTATAAATTGTATGTAATACTCTTTATCAATGATTTGATAGACTTAATCCTGTTCTGAAAATGAAGGACAGATAGTGCTCTAGAAAGTCCCAAAGCAAATGCCTCAGGGTCTTTCATATTCATTTCCCAACACTGTAAATAGTTCTCATTTTGTATTTTACTTCAGGGGTCAGAAATATACAGCCTGTGAATCACAAGATCCAGCCTGCAGAGCTGGAAGGCTTTATCTGTGCCTGTGCCCATGCCTGTACCTGTACCTGCCCCAGGGCCAGGCAGCTGGAAGCTGTGCCTATAGTGCTTCCTACAGCTCCCCACTCACTAGCTGTGATTTAAGCACAGCTTTTCAGCAGTGGGGAGCTGTGCTGCAGCTTGGGCATACAGGGACATGGGTGAGGGAGTGGCAGCAACAAGAACTCAATTTCCAGCTGCCTGGCCCCTATGCCTGTCACAGCTGGGGAGCAGGAGGCTGGGGAAAGCAGCAGCGGCCTGGACGCAGGCAAAGCCCCCCTACTACTAACCTGCTGCCAGAACCACCCAGCTTGCATGGAACTGGAGTGGTTTTGAGGTGTTCTGGCTTACAGCTTGTTAAAGGTTGCTGGCTGGTGCTTTACTTTAAATTAGTTGAAACTAATGAAGTGGGCAATCCCCATGCTCCAAATTCCCCTTTACTTAGGGATGCCATTTAGGAGCTGAAAAACAAGCATCTGCATGGAAAGTCTATCAAGTAAATGGCTGACTTTATAGGGAATATGGATGACAAGCCACAGAAGCTGAAAGGGGCAAAAAACCCAACTCCTGAGACTGGCCTGAGATTCAACAAAACACACTGCAAACTAGTGAGCAGACAGATGACGCATTTTAAAAAATAGAAAGGGAAATTCTATATTTTTAGTTGCCAAAATAAAGAAAATACATATATCGTACCACTGTTTCTTTCAATGTAACAATCCCCAAATTAAAAAATAAAGATGGCTGTATAACAAAATGGATAAACAAAATAAGTACAAAAGAATTATAAACAATTTATACAGTTCTGCATGTAGTATGCAGTCTCTGAAATTAGTCAGAAAGATGTTTATGCTGGTTAAGCTTAAAACTGACAGAACTTTATTATTGCATATGCTTTATCTTTTTCAAAATCTGAGGTTGTCTCAGCTCCTCAGTCCCATGAGCATATGGACAGGATTCAGAAGTCAAAGAACAGCCATCAGGGTGATGAATGAAAAACCAACAGAGGCGTGTTTTGAAAGCTTCAGCAGAAAGCCTTCGTTTGATTTCTGGTGTGGTTTTCTTCACCTGCTTCTTTTCTCTCCAGTCACGGATCTGAACTCTCCCATTTATAACTGAGGTTTAAAAAATAAACAGACATACAAAACATTAATAGAGGGTCATGGGAATTACACCAGCAAGTGCAAAGTCTCTCTCTTTGTATAACAAATAGAAAACAAATGGATCATTTGAGCAAAACCCAGGGCCCAGCTTTAAACTCTTGCACAGTTACAGAAATGCATACAGAGCAAATAGAGGTAATTTCTCATAGGAGCCTCTGTACCTGCCCATTCCTGGATGCTTTTATTATTATATAAGACAGTCTGAGGGCACCTTACACAGTGGGTATTTGTGTCATGGCCTTCCCTCCTTTCATGCATCGTTTGAAGAACCTGACACTGGACCACTATATGCTGTATGGCCCAATATAATTTCTAGTGATGCTATTAATGCTTGTTTGAACAGTGTTGCTAGCAAACCTGATTCTGCTCAACAGACATAGCCTAGTATAAGGAGCATGGTGGAGAGAAGAATATCCCATCACTCCCCCAAAACATGCACCTTTTATAGTGGTACAGAATTCTCCCAGTTCCATTGGTGGCATAAGAAAGACAGATTAAATGTGGCTGTGCTATCTTAAGTGTGGCCCTCTTTGGAGCTGGCTCCCAGGATGGCTGGTAGTAAGAATCCTTTTCTATACTTACAGCCATATCATAAAAGCAGAACGACTTTGTGGTCTCTAGTGAAGCTGCAAAGGTGAGAAATCTCCATGCAATTTATCCATGGTTGTGTGCATCTTCTAGTCTTCCATCCAAATCTCTGTTTCTTTGATAGAGTGTAGTGTCCAGGAAATTTGGCTTTAGGGAAAACAGAAATGCTCCTCCTTTGCTAGGGGTCCTAAATCCTGTCCCACCCTCCCATGTAATGGAACTACACCATTTCCACCACAAAAGGGTTCTATCTGGAAGGTGGATGAATTCAATGCAAGATAAGCATGAGTTGCCTCCATTCTTCTCAATTTCTCCTTTAATTTTGAAGCATCTCTGACACTGACAGCATTAACATTGGTCACAAAGCTCCACTCATAGTACAAACAATAAAGTGATAACATAGACAGGATGTAGTTGTGTAGATTCTGGTGTCATCCAACCTGGTTCAGAGCTGCCCAAGTCCACAGAAAATCCTAGTGTAGATGCAACACTGTTTTGGGCTTTTGGTTTTATCCCTCAAAAGTTCCTGTTCCGTGGACGTATCTGAAGACTTCTCCACCTACTCAATTGAGCCCTGGCAGCAAATATGGCATTTTCTGGCTGTCTGCTAAGTAATCTATTGGTACTTGGTGACTTACTGGATGGATAAATTTAGGCATGACTTATCATGGGTAAATTCACTTACATATTGCTACTAACTCATTGCTGGAATCAAGAATATAAACACCTTTATAAAAAATACCCTAACTTTTTACTAATCTACATACCAGCTTTCCAAGTCTGGCTTCAAGTGGTATTATTCTGCTGCTGGATATCAATGAAGTAAAAATTTTACATTTGCAACAGCAAAGTAAAATCCTAAGAAAATCAAAATAATAAAAAAAAGGTATTTTGCTGTTAACTTTCTATTCTGCCAGCCTGCTGCAGCCCGTAAAAATCTGTCAAGCCTCATATAATTAAAGGCTCTTGTCTAGGCCAACTCTGTTTTCTGCTGGCAGTTCTCTCTGTAGGGCTTGTTAAGTCCAGACCAAGTCTTAATGAAATGCTCCAGTGCACTTCCTCTGCATCTGACTTCCTTCAACACTGTGGCCACTTTAGAAAACAGAAGTTTCATAACCTAGTCAAATTGTAGCATCAAACTGAGAACTCCTGTTAGAAAACAACAGGCATATCAGGCATACCTGGTTTATGCAACAAATAAGCCAGACACAAAATTACTACACCACCTGGCAAGGTACCAAGCTCATCTTGTCATTCTTGTTTCTTCTATTGCCATCTAGGGAAATACAGGGGCAAATATAGAAAATTCTGTTTGTTATGGCTAGACATCCAGTACTGGGAAGAGTTAATGTTATAATCTTTCAATTAAGTTTATGCTAAAAATAGATCAGGCAAACAAGAGCTGATTAATGAAAAGAAATAATCTCTCTGCTCTTTACCTTCAAATACCTGATGATTGTTCTTGAGCAGTGTTTGCAGACCCCCATATTCACTCTTTAGCCTCTTTAACGTCTCTTTGTCCAAATGTTCTGCTACTTCCCTCAAGGGCAGACTATCTGCAGCAAATGATAATATACCCATTAAAATGAACTGAAAATTTGCCACACACATCATAATTATAGGCAGAATTTAGATCATTACTGCAGCAGAGCAGCTAAGCAGCACAGTTTAGATGAAGCTGCCTGCTTTTTAAAAAAAATACTTTGTTTAGTTTCTCTACAGTGAAGCAGATTCCATTTGCTGTTTGCTCTTAAGAGTTCACAGTGAAAATTTCCATAAGTAATATGAATACAAAAGCTTGTGCATTCCTCAGTTTTGCATTGCAGCAGTGCTCAGACTTCCCAGGGTGCTAAAGACTATGGGCCAGATTCTGTTCTACCTGTACATTCACAATCACGCAATAACAAACTGGTATTTGAAAAGTAATTGTCTGGGAATCATAACAATTTTATGTAAACTTCCAAATAGACTAACACTCTCAACAACAAAATGTAAACTATTTGTTGTTATAATACAAACACTTACCTAATATTTAAATGTGGAATAGAAAAAGAATTTGGCAATAATACAAGAGAAAAGTTCAAATAAGGAGTGCAAAAATCTAAATAGTACAGTATGTAAGGAGGTTAGCAAAGAAGTCTGTGCAAATTCCTTTGCAGATAATTAATATTACTGCAATGTTTTCCAGCAGTCCCCACAATTAGCATGTTAAAAAGTCTCCTAAGAATTATACATTAAATTTAATATAGGAAACTATGACTAGCAAAGCAACACTATCTACTGACTGGCAGTTATGAATCTCTGAAGTTTTAATAGCAAGAACCATTGCATGTTATGCGTATAAGGGCAAACTTACCTCCTTTATTCCAGGTATTCAGACTTCCATCAGGCATATTATAGGGTTTTTCTTGGGTTGCACTTAACAATAAGTTAGCTACATCCAGAACCACATCATCTACAAAATCCCGAGGAAGAGTAGCACAGTTCCTGACTTGTTCTACTTTTTCTCTGGGCCGAAATCCAGAAAGCCAGATCCCACTATCATCTATCTTAGTCTCATTTTCAGGAAATTCCAAATCTGCTGCTTTGTCACCTGCACTCTTTTTGATGTTATGATTGTCATAGTGATTAGATCCAACTCGTCTGTCCTGTGGGATCACAGTGCAAGATTGACGGCTATTGATATACTGTGTCCGCTGCTTATCAATTAGAGATTCTTGAGTAGATGGATATGTTCTGGACTTGCCAATTAGGCATACCTATGTTAGCAAAAAAAAAAAAAAAGTTACTATTTGTACTAGGTGGCGTTTTACATACAAGTCCTGCCCACCCAATCAGCAAATATTAGAGTATGGTTGGATAAACTATTTACCATGAATTTAAAAAGCAGGGCATTATCCTACTCCAGCTGTTTTGCAGGACCTGGCAGGTACATGCTTTATTTCCACACCTACTTTACTGTAATCCACCCCTTTCACTGAAGGATAAATTACCATGCTTTAACTAGAATTGCACAGAGGTAACCCGAGTCCATTTAGACACCTTATATATCAGGAAAAAAACCCTAACTTATGTGCCCATGTAATAAAATGCAGATTCCGTCCCAAAGAGCTCTTAATCTTAGCACATGATGAGAGGAGAAATGCGTCTACGTCAGAGGAGAAATACATCTACTCTGAAGTAAGAGCGTGCAGCATGTGATTACTATAGAGCAGCTGACATGGGGTAAAGTCCCACATCCTTTTTCACCTCTGGTAAGTATTTTGCCTTTCACATTTTCTTGTATGAATTCTAAACATGGGGGTTTAGTGTTGGAATGTGATAGCTGATAAAGGCTAAGTATTTATTTATTTGCATAGAGCATGTATGAGTCCCATTCTTGGATGAGCACCCCATCTATGGGAGGCTCTAAGCAAACACAGAACAAAAAGACAGTCCTCGTCCCAAAGAGTGATTTGCAGCATCAAGTCTCAAGATCCTTCTGGGATTCAAATAGTGACAAAACCTGTACTGGGCAAACAAAGGCAGTGTGAGACCTTGAAGAGAAAGGGTGTAAAAGAGCAGGTGCATAACAAGGTTTTCTTTCAATGCCCATACATATAAAATAGCCATGTAAGAAGGGGGATGCAGCCCCTTGTGCTTATCTGGAGCCCTTTGGTAGGGGGGACTAAGCATGCTGTGACAGACTTCCCAGAAAATAGAGGAATAATTTTATCCTCACTTGGAAAACGTTGGAAATAATGTAATCCACTGGGACCTAAGCCTCACTGCAGTCATTAGGAACAAAAGTTCGCATGCTTCAGCTAGCAGCATTTTAAAAACGATGTCATCCAAAATTACCCTTTTTGTTGAGGGAATTCGAAGACTGTCTTCTTCTACATTAAAGCCACATGCACATCCCACTTGTGTAACAAAATCCAGATACTCTCTGTACTGTGTCTTCTTGCTCTGCCTTCGGTTATATTTTCCATGAAAATCAAAGAAGCAACAAGGCAGTACAAAGTAGCAACAAGAATATGAAGACCTGCAAGAAGGGTATGGGCTTCTGAATAAAATGTCATAGGAAACCATTGCAATGAATAAACATAAAACTTTGTCAACAACCCCTCAGATACAAGCACTGAAAACATTTTCATGCAGTAATAGAGCTTCCAGGCCAAGCAAGAAGTGTTTCTCTTTTGGAACAGTCTCTGATTAAACCGAATGTTTGCTCTAGTGATTTACCATACCAGCATAGTTTAATACCTAGGGACCTAGTTCTGCAAACTAATCAACACAACTAGTTGCAATGAGAGAATTCAAAGTAACACAAAGTCTGATACTAAATGTTTACTGCAATGGGGCTGAAATTTAAGGAGCAAATACTTTATGGTATTGCTTGTCTCACAAGTATACTCTGTTATTAAGGGTAGCTGTCATGATGCTTATAGTAGTGAAATGCTTCTAAGGCATCTTAATAGAATCTATAAGGGGTCTGCAGTGTTTTTGGGCCAAATGCCAAAAACCCCACAACCTGGACTTCAAAGATGTTGGCAGGCCAGGGCAGACAGCAGGGGACCCACAGGGGGGGCCTGATCCTTGTTGCAGCTGTGCAGCCCTGTCCCCTTTTCTGCTGTGCTCCCTGAGGCGTGCATGTGGCCACTGCCAGCAGCAAGCCAAGCCAGGGCTCCAGACCACAATGCACCAGTTACAGCCTCCCAGCTACCTGCCACAAAGCCTGCTCTCAGCAGGCCTTGTAGCCTCTCCACCACCTGCTGTGAGCAGTCTGGGCTTCGTGGCTGGCAGCAGCTGCCCAGAACCTGGGCCAGCAGTGGTGTGCCAAACAAAATAACCTCACATGCCATGCTCTGGCCTGCGTACCAGGGGCTGCCAACCCTGGAAATATATAGTGTTTTGTGCATGCAATCATTAAAACTGCAAAAAGACATACATAGCTACAGACACAAGCTGCAGACCCAAAACATACAGTTTCCACAGGTCATGGATATAGTAAGTTCCCACTAAAAACAGAACAAAAACAAAATACCACCCCCACCCTTTCTTCCATACCTTGCTGCTATTACAGGTATCCATGGTGTTAGCTCATCTGAATGGTTTCCTATTAGCCAGTCAACATCTGGAAACAGGTAACTCCCACATGGTTTGACTGCACATTCCTATTGAGAGGAAGGTGCATTTTTGATGGATGTGTTTAAACATACTAAATTTAATACCACAGCAACAGTATGAAACCCTAAACAAAGACAGATTTCAGGGTGAACAACAGTAAAATGTGAATGTGCCAATATTTTCCCCAACTGCATTGTAAGAAACATTTTTGCCATGCAAGGATTTTTTTTTTTTTTTTTTTTTTTAATTTTTTAAAAAAATAA